CTTTTCACCAGCAAGGCCACAAGCAGCACTAGTCGCTGGTGGGCCATATGAAATTGCTGCTGTTTGACCAGTTTTGACACAAAAAATGGAAGTTTTTCAGTGTTCAACTTGATAATGTCATCTCTCTGATCCTCTGGCTACCGGAATGTGAGATTGTGTTGTACTGAGCCCCCTGCCCACCCCACCCAAGGGGAGTTGGGTTCCAGCTCAATCTTCACCCCCACCCTGATCCTCCTCTAGGCTCAGTCTTTAGCAATGAAAGGGATCTGTACGGCCACCTCACACAGCTCCCTGCTTGCCAGATGGAGCAGTGGAACTCAGGAAGGTAGGTTCTTGCTAAAGATGTGCAACCCGTTAGGAGTGGACCTAGGACCAGAATCCAGTTTTCTAACTCCTAATTCAAATCTCTTCGTTCCATCAACCTGAAGCAGCTGCTAATGTTTGAAACCAGAGCTGGATCAGGGTGGGTCACCTATCTATAAGAGGTGCTAAAGCGTTGCTGGGAATTTAACAAGGTGCAGGATGTTTTCCAGAACTCCTTTTGGAGAGGGTGCTGTTTAGAACTCTCATCTCAGCTCTGCTACTTAAGGGTTAGGCAAGCTTGGTGTCCTTATCTGTACAGTGGAATAATAATAGCATCTATTTCACAAGGGTTAAATAATTCCATACTTGTAAATTGCATTGTCAATAATAAAATTTGTAAATTCAACTTACAAACATTTTTAGAAAGTATTGGAGAGCACTTAAAGAGTGTCTGGCACTTTGTAAGGTCTGTCTGAGTATTTGGTATTGTTATTATTATTTTTGAGTTGGAGTCTCACTCTATCACCCAAGCTGGAGTGCAGCGACACAATCATGGCTCACCTCAGCTTCAACCTCTTTAGCTCAGGCAATTCTTCCACCTCTCAGTCTCCCAAGTAGCCGGGACTATGGGTATGTGCCTTATTTATTTATTTATTTATTTATAATGCAGTCTTGCTATGTTGCACAGGCTGGTCTTGAACTCCTGAACTAAAGTCAATCCTCCCACTTTGGCCTCCTAAAATGCTAGTATTAGAGCCATGAGCCACCATGCCCAGCCGGTATTATTATTATGAGGACACTGGGGATTGCTGTGGTGGGTGGGTGAGAGCTTGGGGCGGTGCTAGACAATACAGAAGAGCCCTCTTTTTCCTCCACCTCTTCCAGTTCCCAGTCTTGTCTCTAAGTATATGCAGGACAGAATCTCAGAGAGACCAGAAGCCGGCACAGTGGCTGGGGTTGACAGGTGCCCACAGCTTCCTGGCTCCCTGCCCTCACCTCTTCTATAAGGAGCATGGCTCTATGCCTCCCAGGCTTTACAGAGGGCAGAGATTTGTGGGTTCGAATGAAGCAAACCCTGTGAAGTGCTCAGACAGGTCCTGTTCCTGCAAGTCCTGTTTACTTATTTGGCAACAATACTGATCCTGACAACATTCAAACTCCATGAGAGAGCAGGAATCTTTGTCTGTTTTATTCACACCATATTCCAGGTTCCTAGAACAATGCCAGGCTCAGAATAGGAACACAATAAACACTTGCTACGTGAAGGGGTAAATTTGTCCCCACCCTTAAGGAGATTAGAATCTAAAAGAGCAATCTGGAAAACAATCACAGATACTATGGAAATACTATAAATTCGTTCTCATCTCCTCCCTGATTTTTCTCCAAATCACATTAGTTCTGCTGTTCACCATCTCTAAGGGCTAGGCTCCTTTCAATCACCACTGTTTCAGCTTCATTCAGGCTTTTCTTTGATCTCATCTGGAAAATTGCAGCATACTCACCTTCTACTCCCTTCTCCTTGAAACCAAGAGAGGGACTTCCTAAAAATAAATCAGTTTGGATCACTCCTTTGCCAAAAATTGTTTGAAAGCTCCCCATTGCCTCCAGGCTAAAATCCAACTCCTATGGCCAATAAGCACTTGTAAAGATGTTCAGCATCATTAGTCATCAGGGAAATGCAAATCAAAAATCCACACCCTCTAGGATGGCTAGAATCAAAAAGACACAATAACAAGTGTTGCTGAGGATGTGGAGAAATTGGAACCCTCCTACACTGCCGGTGAAAATGTAAAAAAGTGTAGCTCCTGTGGAAAATAGTTGGGTAGTTCCTCAAAAAGTTAAGCATTGAATTACCATATGACCCAGCAATTCCACCCCTAGGCAAATACTCAAGAGAATGCAAGATGTAGGTCCACACAAAAACTTGTACATGAATGTTCATGGCAAAATTAGGTACAATAGCGGCCCAGATTAGAAACAACCCAAATGACCATCAACTAATGAATACATAAATAAAATGTGGCTTCTTATTCCATTTGTGCTGCTACAACAAAATACTATGGACTGAATAATTTATAAATAATGGAAATTTACTTTGCACAGTTCTGGAGGCAGAAAAGTCTAAGATCAAGGCACCAGCAAGTTCAGTGTTTAGTGAGGTCTCAGTCTTTTCTTCCAAGATGGTAGCTTGTTGCTGCATCCTCCAGAGGGGACGAATGCTGTGTCCTTACATGATAGAAAGGGACAAACCCACTCCCTCAAGCCCTTTCATAAGAGCTCTAGCCTCAGCCATTAGGGCATGTAGCCCTCACTACCTAATCACTTCCTAAATGTCCTACCTCTTAATACTGTTGCATTGGAAATTTTCAGCATGAATTTTAGGGAGGACACAGCATTCAAACCATAGCAGTTGTATATTCATACAGTGGAATATTTTTCAGCCGTAAAAAGGAATGAAGTACTAGCACATGCTACGACGTGAATGAACTTTGGAAACATCATGCTAAGTAAAATAAGCCTGTCACAAGAACTACATCTTATATGATTGCATTTATATGAAATGTCCAGAACTGACAAATCCAGAGAGACAGAACATAGACAAGTGGTCACCACTGCTCACAGATATAAGATTTCTTTTGAGATGACAAAAATATTCTGGAATTGAATAGTGGTGATGGCTAAACAACCTTAGGAAAATACTGAAACATCACTGACTCATACATACACTGTTAAAAGGTAAATTTCAAAGTATGTGAATTATATGTAAATTTTAAACATTGGGAGTGTTCGTGGGACAGCCCGGCTCCACTCACTAGCTCTGGCAGGAAGTCCACCCCCCTTCCCTGCCCCACCTTCTCTTCTCTCAAATGCACTCACCTCACAGAACCCACTGGCTCCCTCCCTAGGCCTTAACCTGGACCCCTCTACTCAACTTCAAAGACCTTTCTTGGGTTTTCCCTTCTGATTCCTCCTGAGGATGTCTCTGTCTTGTTTCCCCCTCCAAAATGTCTGTGGATTTCCTCAGCTAACCTTCCTCCTTCCTTCCCTCCCACGTTGTATATAGAAGGCCAGCTCATTGTAATAGGTACAGAAAGTTTTGGCCCTGAGGGCATTGCAATTATAAACATTTTAAACTGAATTATACTCTGTTGAATTTTTGTCAAGGACACACTTTCCAGTGCTAACTCCATGGAGCTTAAATAAATCCTTGATCAATTTTCTAGAGAACACTGTGAAACTGCTTATTTCCCCTCCATTTTCATTCTTACTTTTAATCATATCTGATTCTTTTCCACTGACATCTCATAACAGCATTTCAACATAGGCCTCATTATGTCTACCAAGCCTGCTCTCTCGAATTATAGTTTGCAGGTCTGAATTTTATTGCGAAGACTTGATTCTTCGGCTCCTGTCTAGGCAATAGCACTTTTTTATTTTCCTTGTATGGCATTTGCTCTTCTAAGTTTATTTTGTCACACTGTCCTAATAATAATGTTCACTGTGAGTGGAACAAAAGACTGATTGATTACATTTATTTCTCAAAAATTTGAATGAAGTTTTAAGTAGACATAATACACAAATGTGGTAGGAAAAAAGTGGGAGCAGGAGAAAGTCAGGTCTCCCCTTGCTGGTCCCCTCTCACGCTTCCCCTTTCCCTTCCCAAAGGCTGTGCCTCTGGTGGGGCTCCCTGGGAAGCTGGCTTGACCTGAAGACTCATCTTAGGCAGGGGCCTACTCAGACCCCGCAGCAGGGGAACGGAGGAGTGGGTCAGGGAAGGCCCAGCTGAACTGAGGGAGCTCTGGGGTCTCTATGCTCTGAGCAGGCCAGTCATCACTCGAAGTCCTTTCTGGAAATGACCTGAAGCAGGCTCTATGGTTGGGAACAATCGGTCCCTCCTCCCCAGGGCCTGGACTCTGCAGCCAACACTTTCCAAAGCTAGTGGATGGGTCTCCTCCTAAAGGACCTAGGCAGCCTGGCACAGAGAGTATTGTCACCCACTGTTCCCAAATTATCTCTGGTCTCTTCCAGCCCTTCTTAGCAAAATACCTATTTTCAATTTTTATTTTCTTATACCCTCGGAGGCTCCTCCCAGCCTGGGTTAGCTGTCAGGAGCCAATGTTTCTTCCATATCAGTGGCCGCCTCCTCTTGCCTCAGGGTGGGAGCCCACACAGCGGGGGCAAATGGGCCTTAGCCTCAGGGAGCCGGGGGAGCAGAGCCTTGAGAATTGAGACTTTTTTTTCTCAAAAACTTTCTAGGGCTCTAGAGTTATAAAAAGCTCCCATGTGTCATTTTCTGGCAGTTGGACAGCTACAGAGAGCCACTCGGCAAGCACTCCTATCCTACCCAGGGTTTGTCATTGGATTGATATGCTGGGTTTGGCACAAACAGTTGAAGGTTATCACAAATCTGCTGCAAGGAGGTTTGTTAACTTATAATAAAAAATAAAATACAAACACACCTTTCCAGATACCCCCTCCCAATGTCTCATGGGCAGAGTGCTGCCAGTCTCCAGGGGAGGCCCTTCCAGACCTGGGAAGCAGGGTCTGGAATGCAAGAAAGGAGACCGAACCCCCTGTGGGAAGAGTAGAGGTCACCCTGATATCCGTCTGCTCGCCTGGGGGTGGGGGAGTAAGCACCATGTGTCTTGGATGATGCCAGCCGGTCTCATCTTCTCTTCCTGTCTGCCACCAGCCCCATGGCATCCCTTCCTGTCCTGCAGAGGGAGAGAGTGTTCCAATTGGGAGCCCATACCTACAGAATCCCTGCTCTGCTCTACCTGCCTCTGCAGAAGACCCTGCTGGCCTTCGCTGAAAAGCGGGCGAGCAAAAAGGATGAGCATGCAGAGCTGATTGTCCTGCGCAGGGGAGACTATGATGCGGTCACCCACCAGGTCCAGGTAAGGCAGGATGTGGCTACAATTGCTCCACCAGGGCTCTACATTTACTCCTTTGCTGGTGTGATAGGGGATCCAGGATCTCATGGAATACAGGGCCAATTCCATCCTTCAAGGACTGAGGTCTAGGGGGCAGAGGGAAAAGACACATTGAAGCCCAGGAGGGAACCAGGCGGCCATTTAAAGAAGAGCCAGAGAAGACGCCCCTAGTGATCACCTGGACCTAACACGGGTTCACCATGAATGAGTCCAGTCGGCCTGGCCACACCTGCTTTGTTGCATGACTGAATGAGTTTCCTGGCATCCTTGAGAATCGGAGAGAGGAAGAGTTCAGTGTCATGTGACTGGGGGGTTGGAGTGATTGCTTATGTCCCAAAGTTTCAGCTTGTAGATTAGGTGATTAATCTTGACAAAGCTACCTAAGACTGAGCTTATCATACTTGAAGGGTTTAATGTCATTATGATTACTCTTTCATGGTCATTACCACGTAGTAACTGTCCATACTTGGAGTTTGAAGCAGAAGGATCTGGGTTCAAGTCCTGGTTTCACCACTTGTCAGGGATATGGCCTAGGCAACTCCTCTACCCTATCTCAGCTTCTTGTTCTCCAGATGTAAGATGGAGCTAATAATACTTGTCTCCCAGAGGTCAGGGCCTTAGATGAGACAATGGATGTTAGACTTTTGGCATCATATCTGTGCTTAGAATTGCTCATTGTTGATGGTTGTTAGTGAATGGGGACTGGCATCAGAGCTGCAGCATATGTGCCATAGACTTGGGGATTATAGAAGCCCTATGTGAGTCCTTGTAGGCTGCATTAATAATATGGAAGGTGATCATCACATTCTGTCTTGCACTGGTCAGGTTACTGCAGTCCCTGAGAGGGCTTTGCTTTTTCAAGATGTCAAGCTGGACTGAGCTGGCAAGTAGAAGGAACCAGAATGAGGCTGCGAATGGCTCATGCCTGAGTCATCCTTGCTTCTTGGGGTCTAGCACATCGTGGGTGCCCTGCATACTGATGGGAATGGAAGTGAGAGAGCCTAAGTGAAGAGCAGCTGCTGCTCTGGGAGGTGTCGTAAGGGGGCTGTGAGCATGGGGTGAGGAGCTGACCTCGATGACCTCTGACTCTGGTCCCATGAGACACATACCCATCCCCACCCATCCCTGAGTGTGGAGTTCCTGTCACCATCACTGACTGTCTCATGGCTGTGCTTCTCCTTCTTTTCTCCCCACATTCAGTGGCAAATGCAGGAGGATGTGACCCAGGCCCAGCTGGAGGGCCACCGCTCCATGAACCCATGCCCCTTGTACGACGAGCAGACAGGAACCCTTTTCCTCTTCTTCATCGCCATCCCGGGACAGGTCTCTGAGCAACACCAGCTGCTCACCAGGGTCAACGTGACACGACTATGCCAAGTCACCAGCACTGACCATGGGAGGACCTGGAGCCCCGCCAGAGACCTCACCAGCTCTGCCATCGGCCCAGCCTACAAGGAGTGGGCCACCTTTGCAGTGGGCCCGGGGCACTGTCTGCAGCTGCACAACAAGACCCGGAGCCTGGTAGTCCCTGCCTATGCCTACCGGAAACTTCACCTCCTCCGAAAGCCGACCCCCTTTGCCTTCTGCTTCCTCAGTCATGACAGTGGACACACATGGGAGAGAGGGAACTTTGTGGCCCAGGACACCCTGGAGTGTCAAGTGGCTGAAGTCGGGGCTGGGGAGCACAGAATGGTCTACCTCAACGCTAGAAGCCTCCTCAGAGCCAGGGTCCAAGCCCAGAGTACCAACGATGGGTTCTATTTCCAGGAGGTCCGACAGGTGAAGAAGCTCGTGGAACCTCCCAATGGCTGCCAGGGCAGCGTCATCAGCTTCCCCAGCCCCCACTCAGGGTCAGACTCAGCCCAGTGGCTGCTGTTCACTCACCCCACCCACCCCCAACAGAGGTCTGACCTGGGTACCTACCTCAACAAGCAGCCCCCAGTCTCTGAGGCCTGGTCAGAGCCAGTTCTGCTGGCCAAGGGCAGCTGTGCCTACTCAGACCTCCAGAATATGGGGATTGGTCCCGATGGGTCCCCCCAGTTTGGGTGTCTGTATGAAGCAGATGACTCTAAGGAGATTGTTTTCCTCTTGTTCACCCTGAAACAGGCCTTCCCGGCTGAATTTATGCCTCAATGAACCCACTGCATGCTGACCACAAAGAACCACCCCTTCTGCCTCCAGGCACTGGCTGAGAGGCTCACTATTTTCATTTTTGTTCAGGGTCCTATGGACTTGGAGGCCAACCTTGGTTTACTTCATTAACAACATGCAGAGAAGTCTTTTTCTCCTTCATCATCCCAGCCTTCCCAGAAGGTTCTATTTTCAGCCCAGAAAACAAAGGCACCTGGCATCCCATAGCCTCTTGACAGAGAAGGAGCAGAGGGCTGTGGGGGGAAGGTGGCGGTCGCTCTGCGAGGCTCAACCCGCCTGTCACCTGCCCCTAGCTTTGTGTGGGTCTTCACAAATTACGTAGCTCAACCCATTTCTTTTCGGGAAGTGCTCATCGTGTTCCTGGGGGAAAGAATGAGACAAACATGTCAATTAGCAGAGGTGTGTGTGTGTGTGTGTGTGTGTGTGTGTGTGTGTGTGTGTGTGTGTCCTAGCTAATGCTTTGGAGCAGTATGGGGAATGGTTTTGCAGGAAAGTAAGGCAGGGTTTAGCGGGTCTCACTCTGTCACCCAGGCTGGAGTTGGCCTCCCGGGCTCCGGTGATCCTTTCGCCTTAGCCTCCCAAGAAACTGGGACCACAGGCACGTGCCACCACACCTGGGTCATTGTTTTGTAGAGACAAGGTCTTGCTATGTTTCCCAGGCTGGTCTCAAACTCCTGGGTTCAAGTGACCCTCTCGCCTCAGTCTCTCAAAGTGCTGGGATTACGGGGGTGAGCCACTATGCCTGCTGAAAATTGCTTCAGTCATTGTATTAGTGTCCTGGGGCTGCAGTAACGAATTGCCTCAATGTAGGTGGCTTAGAGCAACAGTAATTTATTCTCTCAGAGTTCTGGCGGCCAGAAGTCTGAAATCAAGGTATGCACAGGGCCATGCTCCCTCTGGCGTCTCTTCTGAAGGAGGAGCCTTCCTCGCCTCTTCCAGCTTCTGGCGGCCCCTGGCAACTCCTGCTGTTCCCTGGCTCGTGGCTGCATGACTTGAGTCCCTGCCTCTGTCTGCACTTGATCTTCTCCTGTGTCTTCTGTTATAAGGACACTTGTCACTGGATTTGTGGCCCACCCAGGATGATCTTATCTCTCAAGCTCCTTGACTTAATTACTTCTGCAAAGATCCCTCCAAATAAGGTCATATGAACAGATTCTGGGGATTAGGAGGAGAATATATCCTTTGAGGGCTGCCATTCGATCTCAAAAGTTATTTTTCTACAGGTGATATGGCTAAAGCTAAGAATTAAACACAGATGAATCAGATAATTCAGAATAATCGAGGGGACAGGGCGTGTTGAGGATGTTGGATGTATACTTGTGGCATGGAGCATGGTGACAGGTAGAGCCATGTGGAGGCAAAATGTGGGGAGGGGTGCTATGCTTGTACCATTCTTGCCATAAAGAACTGGGAGAAGGCTGCTCCCTGGTTGCCTTTCTTTTCTTTTCTTTTTTTGAGTTGGAGTCTCACTCTTGTCACCTAGGCTGGAGTGCAGTGGCATGCTCACCACCACCGCAGCCTGACCTGCTGGGCTTAGGTGATCCTTCTGCCTCAGGCTTCCAAGTAGCTGGAACTACAGATGCATGCCACCACACCAGCTAGTTTTTGTGAATTTATTGTAGAGATGAGGTCTCACCAAGTTGCCCAGGCTGGTCTCGAACCCCAGGCTCAGGCAATCCTCTTGCCTCTGTCTCCTGAAGTGCTGGGATTATAGGCTGAGCCACCGCACCCAGCCCCTGGCTGTCTTAAAGGGTGACAACTCCGAGAGAACTCAGCCTAGGTGGAAGAGGCTGACACTTCTCTGACTTCTGGGATCTTCAGGGGCCTTTTTCACTTGTCCTGTGGAATTGCTCCCTCCCCCTGTCAGATCCCCTCTAACTGGCTCTTCTGTCTCAGGGGGAGTCAGTGACAATAGCTAAGGGTTCTTGTAGCTGAGTGATCTCTGTCTGGCCAAGCAGTGGTTAAACAGGGTTTTTATAGTGCAGGAGTTGGAGGGATGGCTTTGGTTCTGGGTGTGGTTCTAAGCACTGGCCTCCTGTGGGGCACTGCTTTTCCCTATGGGGTTTTAAGAAATCCAGCCAGAAGGATGAGGAATTAGAGCCTGGTCACTGCTGGAATGGAAAGTTAGGCCCCTCTGTTTTGGGGATGCAAAGTATCTTCCAAACCATCAAAGGTAGCTCAGATTCAAAGGTGGGGAGGGGGCTGAACCTAGGAGAGTGAAAACATGCTACGTGGCATGCCAGGCTGGGGCAGTACACCCTACAGTGACTTATAGTGTGTTATCCAACCAGGGCACTTTTGAGAGACAAAGGGGGATGCTACTAATTACACCAGGGCAAGGGGCATTGATCAAGAATGCCCCAGGAGTTTAAAGGAGAAAGACCCACTGAGGATTCAGTCAGGAGCTGACCCCCCTTTGCCCTAGAGGAGCCAATCATCTGTTAGGCGACTTGAGAGAAAAGGGACTAGGATTGGGCATTTGGCTGCTGCTGTGCAGAATGTTACTCTCATCATAGCCTCTTCGTTCACAGAGATCTGTGGCATTCAACTTCACGTGCTTTTTAGAATTCCCAAGGGAGTTTAAACAATTCTGATTCCTGGGCTCCAACCCTGACCAACTGATTCAGAATCTCTGGTGGTAGGGCCCAGGCAAGAGCATTTTCTCAAAAGCTCTTCAAGTTATCTTAATGAGCCAGGCTCGGTGGCTCAGCCTGTAATTCTGCACTTTGGGAGGCTGAAGTGAGTGGATTGCCTGAGCCCATGGGTTTAAGACCTTGCCCGGGCAACTTGGCGAGACCTCATCTCTACAATAAATCAAAAAATTAGCCGGGCATGGTAGTACGCACCTGTAGTTCCAGCTACTTAGAAGGCCGAGGTGGAAGGATCGCCAGAGTCCAGCAGGTCGAGGCTGCGGTGGCCGGGAGGGTGCCACTGCCCTCCAGCAAAGTTGACAGAGTGAGACTTCAACTCAAAAAAAAAAGAAAAAAGAAAAAAGAATTATCTTAATGAGTAAGGATCACTAGCGTAGATGATCACTAAAGTTTCTCTAGTTCTAAGTGTTTACAAATAACACAAAATCTTATTAGAATTAAAAAAAACAGTTGATTTTAATAAAGCCGAACTGATCTGCTCATCAAAAAACACACCATTAAGAAAGTGAAAAGAAGATCCATAGATGAGGAGAAGATATTTATAATCTAAATATCTGTCAGAGAACTGGTATCCAGAATATAAAAAGAGCTCCTATGAATCAACAAGAAAAAGACAAATAATCCAATAGAAGTTGGCAACACACACTTCATAAAAGAGGATATCCTAAAGGCTGCTAAACATGTGAAAAATGCTCAATATTACTGGTCATCAGGGAAATGCAAATTAAAACCACAAAGTGGTTGGGATTAGTGGCTCAGCCTGTAATCCCAGCACTTTGGGAGGCTGAGGTGAGTGGATTGCCTGAGCCCACAGGCAACTTGGTGAGACCTCGTCTCTACAATAAATAAAAAATTAGCCGGGTGTGGTAGCTTGTGCCTGTAGTTCTGGCTACTTGAAAGTCTGAGGTAGAAGGATCGCTGGAGTCTAGCAGGTCAATACTGGGGTGGTGGTGAGCATACCACTGCACTCCAGCCTAGGTGGCAGAGTGAGACTCCAACTTAAAACAAAACAAAACAAAAAACCCACAAAATATTTACCCACTGGATTGACTAAAACTAAATTTAAAAGATTCACAGTAGCAAGCACTAGCAAGGATGTGGAGTTACTGGAACTCTCATACATTTCTGGTAGAAGAGTAGCTGGTGCAACCACTTCGGAAAGCTATTTGGTAGTGTCTACTCAAACTAAACATGCACATACTTTATGACTCAGTAATTCTACTTCCAAGTATATACTCAAAGAAATGAAAGCTTATTTCTGCCAAAGACACTTATAGGAATATCCTTAGCAGCTTCATTCATGAGTGTCCCAAATGGAAAACAATCCAAATGTCAACAATCAATAGAATGGATAACCAAATTAGGGCATATTTATGCAATGGAATAGTAGACAAAAATAAAAGAATGAATTACTGCTACACACAATAACATAAATGATTTTCAGGCATCATGTTTCGTGAAAGAAGCCAGACATAAAAAAGTACATACTTTTTTACCATTCTATTTACATGAAGTGCAAGACCTGCAAAACTAATCTATGGTATATAAGTCAGGATAATGGCTACTCTTGGTGGAGGGGAGGTGTTAACTGGAAGACAGCAAGATGGAGACTGTCGGGTACTAGATACATTTTACTGTTTGATCCAGGCTGGTTTCGTGGTGCCTCCATATGTGAAATTCAATGAACTAGTCACACAAGATTTATGTTCCTTACTGCATGCATATTATACCTCAACAAAAAATAGAAGTTGGATGAAATAGTGGACTTGCTAGTTTAACTTCCAAAGCAATATTTTATATTGTTTTAAAACTTTAAAACATAATTTTTAATAAACTTTTTTTCAGAATAATTTTAGATTTAAAGAAAGTTGCAAGGATAGTACAGAACGTTCTTATAAACCTCACACCCAGTTTCCCCTAATGTTGCCATCTTACATAACTGTGGCACATTTGTTAAAATGAAGAGAGTAACATTGGTACATGACTATTTACTAAACTCTAGACTTTATTCGGATTTCACCAGTTTTTCCACTAATGTCCTTTTACTGTTCTAGGATCCAATCCAGGATACATTTAGTAAAACAGAATTTTTACTGTAATAAAGTTGTATCCTTAGAGACACACACATACACACAGATTGAAACACAGTTCCCGCAGGCCCTCTTTCTTCCCCTACCTTCCCCTGAAAACCACTTCTAAACAAATAAATAAGCAAATGCAAAAAACATGTGCTTCAGGGATGGATTGCTGACGTGCAAATGTCAAAAGTAGTTCAGCCTCTGGAGCTCAGGTGTGTTTTCCCCACCCCCAAGTCAATTAAACAGAACTCCAGGT